ACCCTCAACCGTTGATGGTCTCAGCCCTAAACCCCTAAACCCCGAACCCAAAGCCCAAAACCCTATAGACCCCTTTAAGATTTCAGGAACCCTTTAAGGAAGCCTTTGAGGAGCCCTTGAAAACCAGAGACTCCAATATCCCTTAATTAGGGAATATACCTTAAGTCATATTAAGGATCCTACTATTATTAAAGGATATTCCTTAATTAAGGGATATTGGAGTCTCTGGGAACCCCAAGCCCCGTCTCTGAGAAGCTGACCAATGGAACTCGCTGGCCAGCTGGTGGCTGATGTTAAACGAAAGCACGCCTTGGAAAGGAAGGGTTTGGGTTTAGGGGTTTAGGGTTTAGGGTCTAGGGTTTAGGGCTTTAGTGTTTGGGACTTTGGGGTTTAGGGGTTTAGGGTTGGGGTTTGGGGTCTCGGATTTAGAAAAGCACGCCTTGGGCAGGAAGGTTTCTTTTTTTGGGGCGGTTGCCCTTTAAGGGTACTATAAAGTTCTATAACAGATGCTACGAAGCGTCCATAAGGGTTTGGGGGTTTAGGGTTTTGAGTTTTAGGGTTGGGGGTGCAGGATTTAATTAGCGTTTAGGCTTTCGGGTTCAGCGAGACGGACTGAACTCATAGGTGCCCCGAAGGTCTCTTGATCTTGGGTACCTTGTAGGAGGATTCAGGTGCCTACAACTCACCGGTTTGACCCTGCTCAATTCCATGAGTACACCGGCATTTGTCTAGCTTTGAGCCGGCATTATGTTGTAATTGTACTGGCAGGTTAAGCAAGCACAAGGACACAACACGAAGTTCTGCAGCGGCCGGATGAACCCGGTGAAATCTCTCCGAAACAACTGGTGCGTTCTCTCTGGTCGATGACAGTTGCTGCTGCTCCGATGCAGCTACGTGAAATTCAACACAGTAAGTGCTCCCATTGCCGGTCCGCTCCTGCTCCGCCCCCCGACCCCGTAGTTTTTTTCAGTTTTTGGCCAGTGTTTTTTTCAGTTTTTGGCCGGTGTCCCTTTGCGCAAATGTTGGCATTAGGCCAGCACGATGCAAGACGAATGTTGGTGTGTAGCCAGCTTTTGCCCAAATACTGGCAGTAAACTGCGGTGCACCTGACTCACACCTGCACCAAACCGTTCCTAAACTGGCTGCACACCCTCACGGCATTTGATGTGCAATGACCCAACCGAGCCGTGTCCCCAGCCCCTCCCAATTGTGAGTTGGGAGCAAAGGACTGAGGTCGGTGTGCCTATGGGTACAATGCAGTGGAACATGCATGGAAATGCTTTCTGAAGTAGCTCCCCGGCCATCCGAAAGGAGTCAGGGGAGCCCTCCCTGCATTGAGTTTTGACAAAGCCTGATACAAAACATTACATTGGTGCCTCGTCAGACAAAGTGCCGGGAAAAGGACAACATAAAGCCAACAGAACGCCGACACAAAGCAGACATGACTACAGACACTGATTCTTCCTACAAGGACCCCAAGTTGAAGAGACCTTCGGTGCATGTAAGATGAACACGTCGCATGACAAGACGGAAGCCTGACATGGGACCTAAACCATAAACTCCAAGGGTAAAAGGAGGGACCCTTAATAAGGACCCCTAGGTATATACCCTTAATATAGCTATTCAGGGGTCTAAACCATAAACCCTAAAGTAAAAGCCAGAAAGTTGGAATATGATTATCCTAAACCCTCTATGGTAAATTAAAGGGTATCCTACCCTGAAACCATATTCCAACTTTCTGGAGTTCCCATTAAACCCTAAACCCAAAACGAATACCTAAACCTTGGACAGACTGCGTCGTTTGGAAGCAACCTGATGTTCGAAAACCGCTGCCTCAACTAAAAGGGGGAAAGAAGGGACCCTTAATGGGGACCCTACCCTGTAATGGGCTAAATAATGGGTATATATAACAGCTATATTAAAGGTACATACCTTGGGGTCCTTATCAAGGGTCCCTCCTTTTACCCTTGGATCAACCCTAAACCTTAAAGCCTAATTAAACCCTAAACCCTAGTTTGCACTACTTGTCTCGAACTCTTTCGAAGAGTCTGAGGACAAGGCTCTGATCGCAAGCATGATGCGAGTTGGGAATAAGATCGTGTATCTGCAACATTAGGGTTTTGGGGTTTAGGGGTTTTGGTTTCAAGGTTTGGGCTTCAGGGTTTTAGTGTTTAGGGGTTTAGGGTTCAGTGCTTAGGTTGCTCGGGATTTGGCGTAAATGTCTTGGGAGCTTGGCGTTTAAGGTTTGGGATTCACAGGTTTCGGGCTTAGGGTATCTGCCAGGCTCAGAATGTGTCCCGTCAAACCTGCATATATGGACGGCCTACAGGCAGTGCTTGTGACCTTCTCATTGATGCTGACCGATGTGTTTGTTTCTTTGCTAATACAGATGGGAAGGCACAGATACGCACACACCACCCCATGTGACGATATGTACAACTGAAAACATGCATGGATGCATGGACGGATGGATGGCTGGCTGGCTGGATGGAGCGGATGAATGGGATGGGATGGGATGTCTGCTGTGTGTCTGGATACCTGCATGTCTTTCTGTCTGTCTGTCTGTCTGTCTGTCTGTCTGTCTGTCTGGCGGTCTGCATGACTGTCTGCATGTCTGTTTGTCTGGTCTGTATGTCTGTATGTATGTATCTCTGTACCTATGTATGTCCGCACGTATATACGCATTCATGTAATGATCGTGATGTAAGTTCCAGTATTGTAGTGTGATGTGGAGTGATGTGATACAATGTAATAGCGCAAAAATTGCAATGTAGCACGTTATAATGAACGGAACGGTACTGCACTGAAATGTATTGCAATGTAATTTGATCAAATCAGTATACTGTAATGCAATGCAATGTGGTGCAATGTCATGTACTGAGGGCTGTATGTAGTTTTTTCAAACAGTATAACTAGTGTTGTGTGTGTGTGTGTCCATGTTTTTTCGTGCCTATATGTACGTACGAAAGTATGTACATGCGTGCGTACACACACACATATATTGTACATACATGTAAATAAATAAAAAATAAATAAACAAATAAATAAATAAATATATATATATATATATATATATATATATATATATATTCATTCAGAAGAAGGTACGTATGTACGCATGTATGCAAGTAGGCAGATATGCAGGTATACATGTATGCATGCATGCATGCATGCATGCATGCATGCATGCATGCATGCATTCATGCATGCATGGATGGATGGATAGATGGATGGATGTGCGTATGTGTGTGCGTATATATATGTGTATATATATATATATATATATGTGTGTGACTACGTACACACACGTGCAAACCTGCATAAGTTGGAGTGTGTGCTGGTGTGAAATACATATACTCAGATATGTTTGTGTGTACATATGAAAGAATGTAGAGTAACATAGCTATCCAACAAATGGTTAGACATATGCATGCATCCATGCACACATGTCTACCTGCGGGCTAGCAACACCAACACCAAGAACAGCAACAACTTGGGCAACAACAGCAGCAGCAGAAAGAAAGAACGAGATACGGATGTTCGCAAAAAGCAATCAGTGTGGTGACACAATAGTCTTATGCATTACTACGTATGTTCGTCATGACTAGTGTTATTGCTACTGCTGGCATTACTGCTATTGCTACTCTGACTACCATGATTGCGATTTCTATGGTTATGACAACCTGCTAGAAATCTGATTACTATTATTTTGATTATTAGCATAATGACTACGATCACTGAAATGATATGATGACCACTTACTATGATTACTACTGCTACTCTGATCCCAGTCCAGGCCTTGTTCATTTTCACGGTGCCGGATGTTTGAACATCAAACTGCTTCATGGGAAGGAACGTCCTGGGTTCAGGCTTCTCAGGTTGAGGGTTCGGGGGCTCAGGTGTTCAGGGGCTTAGGGCTTTGAGGTTGAGGGTTCAATTGCTTCAAGGGAGGCGGCCTTGTGTCTCGGGTTTAGGGTTCAGGCTTTAGGCTGTCGCTGCTTCATGGTTCATTGTTGGGATAGGAATAAAAATCTACATTTTTATTCCTTATTGGGTTTAAGTACCCATAAAACCTGTAAAATGTTACCCAACTATGACAGTATATAGAATCCTATAAGGTAAGCCCAAAAAGGAACTACTTTGGGGCCTCTGGGTAGGCTGTCGCTGCTTCATGGACCCCTTTCTGGGAAGAAACGTCCTCTGCAGTTCGTCTCTCGACAGCTACGAGGCCAAGTTTCCGGAACAACGGACTCTACTTGCGAGGTTTTGAAACTTGGAGGGGTACTAGATGTGGGGTTCCTTAGCACAAGGATCCTACTAGCGGCTCTATACTATATAAGGCTTCAGTATTTAGGTCCCTTCTTTTTGCAACTCCCCTGTGCTCGGGGTTCAGCCATCTGGTCCATCCGAGGCCCCCGACGAGAGGTGGTTCAAGACGGCGGTGGTCCCCAGCACCGTGACGAAGGTGCAGAAGATACTATTCCCCCTGCCGGCCGTGGATGCACAATATCAATGGTTGAGGGTTGAGAGCTTTAAGGTCTAGTCAGAGGCACAAGCACGAGGTCCCGCACCTCGCGGAGTAGGAGTCCATGGCGGCCCAAACCCCAAAACCCTCCCAACCCCATACCCCTATTCTTGGACGCCTCTGATCTACAGTGTAACGGCGTCAGTGCAGGTGTTGTCAAGCAGGTTGCGAGGGCAAAGGTGATATGGCAAAGTGCCCTAGCAGTTGGAGACTCTGCCGACTGTGGTCATGTTTTTTGAGCATCGGCGGGATAACAGCCTTCCAACACCCTCGCACCTGCTCTTTCGCGGGCGAGGGTGCCCACCGGAACACCTTCGGTCTAAGCCGCCGAAAGGAATCTGAGTCGGTGAGTGTGCCCGAGTGCTACAAGTACGTTTAAGCAAAATCCCACAAGTCTGTAGTCAGCGGTCTGTACAGCATGCATCACATTAGCTGCATTGTTCTCCAGAAACTGAGCCCCAGGATCTCAAGCAGCTCAAAGGTCGATGTCGAAGGCTGCAACGATGCTAAGGATTCCCAAGCCGAAGAGGGACGAGGTACCAAGCATGAAGATGCCCTCGGCTCGTCTTCACGAACTGAAGCTAGAGTTGCGGTACTACCAAAAGCAAGTCTCTCCAAAAGAACGAACCCAAAGTGGCCATAGTCAAAGGAGACTTACTGCTTCTGTCTATTTCCCGTGAATGCGGCGTATGGTAAGAAACGTATCTAACCACCCAAAGGCCCCAAAGCAGTTCCTTTTTGGGGTTCGTTTATAGAATCCCAGAAGGTAGTTTCAAAAAGGAACTACTATGGGGCCTCTGGGTTTACTCTAAAGCCAAAAGTTAATTTCTCCACCCAAACCTAGCAGCACCCCGGGGGAGTGACAGACCAAGGATGTAGACGATCGAGTGGGCCACGCGCGCTGTAGCGAAGATGCCCGAGAGGACGATGTGCGCAGTGCACCTTGGTCCCGCAAGGAAGCATCCCCTTGCGTGGAATTTAGATTTCGGATGATTTCGGGCTTTGGGATTTTAGTTCGTAGGGAGACTCCGGAAAGGACATGAATGAAGCAGTACTGGCGAGCCGAAGCCAGGGCACAGTCCTGATGCGTCTTTCATAGAGCTGCGGACACAGAGGATGCACAAAGCTGCGCCCCAGATGAAGATCAGTCCTAGGTTGGTACATTGAGGGTTTAGGGTTTAGGGAAGTTTGGGGTTTAGGGTTTTCTGAAACATTTTCGTAAAGAAGGCAATCTTCAGCCAAGTAAAGGAATCAAACATATACCAATATGGGGGGTTTCCGAAAAAATAGGGAACCCTAATGTAGTACCTTAAATTGTAGGATCCCTATTAGAAGGACCCCAAAATTAGGTACCCCTACTTTTTCGGAAACTGCCATATCCCTAGAATCCGAAAGGGATGTTCTCGATGTCGTTCTGGACAATGCGGCCTCAGCTCAGAGCAGCAACTCGGAAAAAAAACAACGATGGAAGTTAAGTAAGGGTTCTTAAAGGGTTCCTTAAAGGGATCTGCAGGGCTCCTTAAAAGGGATCTATGGGGTTTAGGGTCTACTTGAAGGGCCAAGGGACTTAGTAAGCCGTTTATAAATAGAGTTCTAATTGGGGTAACTCCATTTAGGGTACTTATAACTCTACTTCTAACCGACATACTAAGACCCCTACCCGGGCTTAGGATTTGCACAGTAAACCCCATAAAAGTCGGAAGCCGGATTAAGGCCAAATAGTGCTGGGATTCCCTATACGTTACTCTTAAGGATCGAGGCTATGGGGTTTCCAACTTTTGGGCCTACACAAACAGGACCACACCGAAGTAGATGTTTGGGTGCTTTTGTTTTGGATCAGCCAGTCTCACACAGTTCACATGATTTCAATCCTTCGGATTTCAATCCCTGAGACCCCAAACCCTAAAGCCTGTAACCCAAAGCCCTAATCCTAAACCCCGATCCCTAAAATCTAAACCCCCGACCCGAGACCCTTGTGCCAAAACCACAAAACCCCAAACCAGACACCCCAAACCCCAAACCACTAAACCACATAATCTTAACAGAACCCTACCCCAAACCCTGCAAAACGTTGTCTAGCCTGCAGCTGTCGCCCTGTCGACATCTTCCTGCGTTGCGTCCGGGTTGTTGTTGAAATCCTCCAAACGCTGGAGAGCTTCCAGGTTTAGGGCTTTTGGGTTTAAGGTGGTCGGATTGAAAACTTTGTTAGGGTTTACGGTTTAGGGTTTAGGGCCAGTAGCACGACCTTTCCCACACAGGAAAATTCCAAAATGACTTTGCGAATTGGCGTTCTTCTCACCGCTTCAGCATCATACTTCCGTACATTGCTTGATCTGCTCCCTGCTCCCTTTCCCTGCAATCCAGGAGGGTAGCATAAAGCCCTCGACCTGCTTTTCAAAAAAAACCTTAAACCCCATACCCACCCAAACCCTACCGTTGGTTAGTAGGGAATGGAAGAATGGTAGTAATAGTAGTTATAATTGTATCCCATTCCTCCATTCCCTACTAACCAGCGGTAAGAAACCCTGTCTCTCGAGGCCGCTCTGGACCTCGGGTCCAGTCCTCCTTTGCTCGCATGTTGGCCTTACCTTTCAGAAGCCCCCAGCGGAGGTTCGTGATGAAGTACCTAGATCGGGACAAAAACACATCGCTTAAGATTTGGTTTATCATCCTCGCAAACTAGAGACCAAAAAGAAGCACAATCATATTACTGAATACCTATAGGTACTTCAGGAAGAGCAGGACGCTCACGATGCTGCTTGTTTGAAAGACCTTGGCCATCACAGCCGTCTCTGGCGGACTTTTGTCGGCTGTGTCACTTTGGCACGAGGAGCACTGGAGCAACCAGGACGCTATCAGAGTGACGAATGCCGAAACCCCAAACCTAAAGCCCAAGAGCTCTAACTCAGCCTGAAACCCTAAACCCGCGTCTTGCCAAGTTGCCTCTCCAACTGTCGCCATTTTGGCAAGTCAGCTGGGAGGCTTTCGCAGGAAGCCGGGTGCTTGACTTACTTGGCTTTCACAAGCACTAGAGGCCGACACGTGGCTGCGGCAGAGTCGCATATCTGGCTGTGAAGGAACCCAGCTTAAGCTACGATACTACGGGAACACATGATCATCAACTGTATACCATCTACTCCCATCATGGCATCTTAAGTTGCAGAATGACCGTATACCATATACTCCCATCATGGAATCTTAAGTTCCAGAGCATGAAGTAAGTCACGTGTAAGGCTGTAAGGAACTCTCTCACTCCTGGGCTTGTCACTAACCAGGGAGAAAAAGGATAAACTTGTATTTCATAAATTTCATAATGGCTCCTTTTAGAAAAAGCGATTATTGTATGGTACTCCAAAGCCCGGACTCGAAAGAAACCCTGCAACCTAAACCATGGAGTATTGCTCTGATCCTTTGCGAGCACTTTGGGCGCATACAAAGGCAGACCAGTGTCTGGTGATCCTGCGCTTCCCAGAGGCTCCAAAACCCCTTGATTAAGTAATACACCTTAAATCGAATTAGGGATCCTATTATGATAGGAGGCATATTCCTCAGTGAAGGGTTTTGGAGTCTCTGGGTCAAACTTCTAACGGTAGGAGCCCAAAAAGCACCATAATATAAACTATCGAAGGAACTGTCTTTACGGTGGGGGGTGTAGGATTGTTCTGTGGATGTTTAGGTGCATCTTCGGTCCATAAGACTAAACTATGAGGCTCACCCAACTTTGGGGCGGTCCATGTTGGAACAGCAGCCCTTGGGCAGCCAAGGGAACCCACCCTAAACCCACCCTAAAGCCAAAACCCGAAACCCTCTAAACCCACCCAATAACGCACAACCTAAACCCTAAACCCTATAGAAGCCTTATAGATCCTTTGAAGGAACCCTTTAACGAACCCTTGTACCCTAAACCCCTCAACTCTAAAACATATCGAGCCCTTCTAGAGCCTTTCAAGGAATCCTTTCAGGAACCCTTTTACCCTAAACCCCTAGCCCCCAACCTCTAAACCCTAAACCCACCCTTAACCGTAAACCCCTAAACCCAAAAAATGAGTTGTCCTTTCAGCCCATTGAAAATTATCTACTATTATGGTTCTCTAGAAAATAGTAGGGAAAATTAAAAACATCCCAAAGGACAACCCAGTAAACCCCAAAAACCCAAAACCCCTAAATCCTATAGACCCTTTATAGAACCGTTATAGAGCCCTTATGGGTCCCTTCACAAAAATCAACGAAGCTCAGGCATCGTCTCCGAGAGCCAAGGCATTCACTTCCTCGGCCCACTCCTCCCAAGCCTTCGGTCCGCTTAAGGACCCTAAACTATGGGAATAATAGCATATTCCTTATTATGGGTAGTGCAGGATTTATATCATCAACAGTAGTAAGGGTTCTTGAAAGGCTCCTTGAAGGGATCTATAGGCTTCCGTAAAGGGATCTATAGGGTTTAGGGTTGAGGTTTGTACTCCTCCCAAGCCTTCGGACCGAACAAATCAGGGATGATGGGGGGCCAAAAGGGGGGGTTTAAGATTCTTGGGGTAGGGATTCCTGAGTATGAACCCTATTCTGGGAACCCTAATCCCTGCTAAACCCCCATGGGCTAAAACCCATGTGGCCTCCTATGAAGGGCCTTGGCGGCCCTATGCTTGGAGCGATTGATGATATAAATCCTAGGGTTCCTTTAAAGGGATCTATAAGGGGTACCTTTAAGGGATCTATAGAGTTTAGGGTTTAGGGTTGATGATATAAATCCTGCATGACCTTAAGGACCCTAAACTATGGGAATTATGGTATGTTCCCTATTATGGGTCATGCAGGATTTATATCATCAACAGTAGTAGGGGTTCTTAAAGGGCTCCTCGAAGGGATCTATAGCGTTCCTTAAAGGGATCTATAGGGTTTGGGGTTTAGGGCTTTACTGGGAGGATCGGGGAACTTCGTAAGTAAGGATATAAGTGCCCTAATTGGGGTTGTAAGTAATTGCAAGTATAGTTACCTTATTATAACCCTAGTTACTAAATGCCATGATCCTTTAAGTAGGCGTTTAGATTCAAGGGTTTAGGATTTGAGATTCAGGGTTTAGGGGTTTAGGGTTGGGGTTTATAGGATTCGGGGGATTCTTTACAGGGTTCTATAACGGTTACCTCAGGGTTTTAGATTCTAGGGTTTAGGCTTTCTTTTGGTGGTCTAGGTTTCCGTTTTAGAGTTTAGGGTTTGGGGTTTAGGGCAGTATCCAATGTGAAACTTCTCCACTGATAGTTCCATGAGAGGCCGCTGAAGAGGTTGAAATATTGACAGTACAGGCAACAGTTGCAGCAGTAGCAATAGCAAGAATGAGGTTGCAAACGATCATAAGGTTCATGAAAAGGCGTACTATGCAAAAACAGACAATGAACGGCATGATTAAAAGTAGCATTGGAAGCAAAAAGAATGATAGAAATGACAACAACATAGTAATAGCAATACCAACATGAATACGAAGAGTAACAATACGAAGAATGAAAACAATACGAATTATATATATATATATATATGTGTGTGTGTAACAGTAACAAAAGCAATAACACTAGCAATACTAATAATCCTAGTAAGTGCTACGGCTGATGATATAAATCCTGCATTACCTTAAGGACCCTAAACTATGAGAATAATAGCATATTCCTTACTATGGGTAGTGCAGGATTTATATCATCAACAGTAGTAAGGGTTCTTGAAGGGCTCCTCGATCTATAGGGTTCCTTAAAGGGATCTAAAGGGTTTAGGGTTTAGGGTTTTACTTATACTAACAATCCTAGTACTTGAAGGCTCATGGGACTTAGTAAGTAAGGTTATAAGTAGGCTATACTTAGGATAACCCCACTTAGGGGACTTATAACCCCAATTATAACCTACTTCTAAGTCCCATGATCCTCTAAGTAACCTAAACTACCCCCTATAGAGCCCTTATATTATAGATCCCTAAACCCTAAACCCTTTAAGGAGCCCTTTAAGGAACCCTAAGTCCCATGATCCTCTAAAGTAGTGCTAATGGTGCATTGCCCAGACCAGCCTTCCGGTTCGCCTGGGATTTCCTGCGCGAAGAACATCACAGCAATATCGCATCTTTTCGTACCGCTGGTTAGTAGGGAATCGGGCTCCTTTAAAGGGATCTATAGGGGTTTAGGGTTCCTTGAAAGGGATCTTTACCTTTGGTTAGCAGGGAATGGAGGAATGGGGTACAATTATAACTACTGTTGCTACCATTCTTCCATTCCCTACTAACCAGCGGTAAGTTCTTTGGCTTCTAGGGACTTGTAAAGCTAATAGGGTTTAGGCTTTAACGAAGGGTACCTACAAGGTTCTACATGAGCGTCTGCCAGGATCTATTTGGTGTTCCGAATTTGTGCTTCTAGACACAGCTTGTTCCAGTAGAAGTATCGTCTTGTAATAAGCTCGATGAGGACCCTTAAAAAGCCTATGACACCTTTGCAGACACCCCATCAAAGCATACAGGAACCTACTAACCTGAAAAAATCCTCCGGATACTCCAAACTATTCTAGAACTCATTGAACACCGGACCTCACCAACGACAACTCCCAAGTCGCAGGGCCTCGGCTCAGTGGGTATCGGGGAAGGGCCCCGACCACCCCACCACTCCTGACAGGCCTGCGGAGGGTTGAGGGCTTTGGGGTTTTGGAGCTTCGAGTTCAGTTGTTTAGGATTTAGGGTTTAGGGTTTTGGGTTTAGGGCTTTTTGCTTGCTGGTTTAGGGTTTAGGGTTTTGGGTTTTGGGTTGAGGGCTTTTTGCTTGCTTGGTCTTCGTCGGGGTTCTACAAAGCTTGTTGCAAGGCTTTTAGCGGGCGGTGTTTTATTTTTATTTTTTTTGCGGGGTTCTCTCGGGCGCCTGTGAGGAGTTGATGGGTTTCTAAAAATATACGGATCCCAAAGGCTCCATGTATCTTTATAGTAGATACTTAGGCCTTAAAGGGGTCCCTATATAGGTACTTTAAGGCCTAAGTATCTACTATAAGGGTACATGGAGCCTTAGGGGATTGTTAAAGGGTTCTACAAGAACTTCCTCTAAGGATTCTGTAAGGCCTCTCAAGGGATTCACGGTCAGTGTTGTGATATCTCGCTCGTATTACGGTGTCGGGTTTGGGGGAACGCTCTTCGGGATTGAGGGCTGAAGGCTCCAAAATGCGCAAGAAGGGCCTTCATAGTGCGGATGTGCTCATACTCGTCATCACGGATGTTCTGAAACACCTCGGACAGAGGAACTCACCGCACGCACCGTGGTGCACTGACCAAAAGCTGTCCGAAAGGATTGATTTGATCCCAAACACATGGCGATGTGCATCTGAAGCCCGTGAAGGCCCCGTAAAAACCTTGCAAAAACCGAAAAGCTCTTAAACCCTACCAAGCAGCTCGTATATAGAGCCTTTGCCTAATCTTAGGGCTCAAGGTTTTGCGGTTGTTAAATCCCTAAACCCAAACACCTCGAGGAATGCTTACGTCAGGCAGTATATTATACCCAGGCAAGAACAAATCACTGAATATTGGGGGTTTAGGATTTAGGGTTTCAAAACCCTGAACCTAAAACCCTAAGACCCCGTGGACACCGGAAGCTCTGGGCCAGATTAGGCCGAGTTGCATCAAGCAAGTGCTTGCAGGGAGGTCGTCGCAAAGTGGAGGCCTGCTCCAGTGTTTTAGGATATTTTTTAAGTTTGGGGTTTAGGTATTAGGGACTTGGGGTTAATATTGGGATTTAGAGTTTCGGCGTTTATGGATTATATAGGGGCTCCAGAGTTTTCTTACCTTGGGTTAGTAGGGAATGGAGGAATGGGGTACAAGTATAACTACTATTACTACCATTCTTCCATTCGCTACTTACCGTTTTAGGGAGTTTAGGTATTAGGGACTTGGGGTTAGGGATTAGGATTTAGGGTTCTGGAGTTTAGGGCTTAGGAGGGGACTCAGTAAGTCGTTTATAA